AAAAAAAAAAGTGGCCATCCTTAATATTTTTAATTATCTTCTAGAATCCTCCACTGATAATCTTAGTGATGGTAGTTTGATTTTTTTAAAGTTGTGCCATATTTAAGTTTCAAATTTGTTTGAGTGATGGTACTGTTGGAAGATGGACAAAATTAAACATATTTGGCCAGTGTGCTTCCAGAACAACTACCCAAAGGTCCCCATGGGTCTTCCATCACTACTATGAAGGCATGGGTCAGGTCGCCATCACGTCTCAGAGAGTTTTATTGTTTCTAATGTATTCCGTAATCGACATTCTACCACTATTGAGATCAAGTAATGATTGAATAAGTGAAATGTTAATGTCAGGTTAAACACTGTAAGGCAGATTTTCAAAAGTTGGATTACATGCCATTGGTCCAGAACTTCTGACAAGGCACAAAACAGTCAGTTAAGTTTCTCAAGAAATCTCTTTAATTGGTCTGAACTCTGAACTAGATTGGACTAAAACTTGTTTTCGGGTGAGTCAAGCTTTTGTTTGAGGTCTTCTGTTTTGTGGGGTTGGGAGGTTAGAAAAGAACAGGAGAGCAATATATCTCTGCAATATTTTCACTCCAGAGAAGCTACAGAGGTGGTGGTGTTACGGTTGTCATTTCTGTGGAAGGTTGGAAGAAGGACTTGATCTTCATCGAGGGTTCCCTAACAGCTGCATGAAACATTGAAGAAGATGTGTTTTATAAATTGTTTCTTTTATACCACTAATTGGTGACAAGTTTTATTTTTATGCATGGAACAATATACAAATAATTTCTTAAAGCTCTTTCTTTAAATTTCTGTCAGGGCTTCCATTTTATACAGTATACAGTTTTATTAAAGGCTAAATTTTTAAATCATGCCAACATTCTATCAATATATTTTTTCATATCGTGTGGTACTGTCAAGTGAATTGCTTCAGCTACATTCTTGAGTTTGAACTAACCTAATAGTGTAAACCATAATTGTTGACAAGATGATCATGTCACTAGAATATCGAAAACAGGTAACTCACCATGAAGTGACTGACTTGGAATTGAAAAATAATGACAACAAAAATTTGAGCGATTTGATAACTCACTCTAATGTTTTATTGCTTCTTACATATCTTTTTATTTAATTTTTTCAGAAACTGTGCTAATAACAATAGATTCTACAAAACTAACAATATGAAGGTTTATTCCAGTGATGGAAATTAAAAATTGATATTTTTTAACTTTAAAATATTCCACTGCAACGTTTATTTATTTATTTTCTTATTTAGGAGAGGTATTTTGTAAATAAATCTAATAGATCGGCTAAAATTTTGTTAAACATTACTATTAATTATAACATTATTTATAAATGTTTTATTACAAGTAGAACAACAAATATTTTTTCCCTGGTTTAACGTCCTTTTATCACGTGATCAAATTATCCATAGGTTCTAACTCCTTAACTTTATAGCTTTCACATAAGATAATAACTATATATAAATATGAAGGGAATGTTTGAGATGATTGTCCTTATACAAAAACCCTATACATCATACAAATTTCAGTTCTTCCTATTATCTAAGGTAATTCTTGATCATTTTAATTGTTGTGATATGCAATTACTTGTAGACTCACTATTTTGACCTCTTGTTTTTGATTCTGTATAATTATTTTAAATGATGTAACCAGCTGAAAATGATGGTTCTACTCACACACAAGAATTAAGAAAACAGTTTGTGAGTAAAGCTCTCTTTTTAGCCAATTAATTGATGTGATTCATTTTACCTTAACTATATTTTAGTTATAACTATTTAAATGTAATATTCAACTCCCATCTTAATATTTTGTTTTATTGCTGTAGTAAATACCACTATAGAATATACAATTTTGATATTAATATTTAAAGCAAAGAAACAAATCACCATTCATATTTCTATAATATTCTTAGTACATATAAAGATTTAAACAAGTTAAATCCTAAAATTTGTTCCAATTAATAATATGTACTATGTGAAGAAATGCTTTGGTCTTTGTTTTTGTTGGTCTTATTCAATATTATGAATACTAAGATATTGCATTAGAATATTGAGTACTCTCGGGTCGATGACTGCTGTGTGAATGTAATTTATTAATGCAAATGGGGCACTTATCCCCAATTACCCCAAGGAATATCGAGTACTCTGGGGTAGTGTAAATGAATGAGCGAATTTAATTTATTAACATGAATGAAGAGGTTTATCCCCAATTACCCCGAGGAATATCCAATACAGTAATCTCTTAACCTGAATAGGTGTTTGGTTCTACAAAACTGCAGTAAATGTTAAATCCGCGAATGTTGAGTCTATTTTCCTATGTTATAAGGAGGGTTACATTCCATGACGCCAAAAATTGAGATACAATTCAGAACTAAAAAAAAAGTTTACTCAGAATAAATGTAATAGAAGACATAACAGTGTTTGAACATGTTAATTGTTTTCATTGCTTCTATTTTTTGATGTGCAAGGAAAGAAATAATTATTAATTGTTTGCTGTTTCGCCAAATAATTAATTTCTTTAAGAATTCCCACATAAGGATTTGAAGCGGCCTCAACATCCCTTTTAAACTTAAAACTTCGATTTAAAGATGGGTCGAAATCCATTGTGTTTTTAATAAGTTGGTCCCTCAAGGTTAAAATTTCCCTGCGTTGTTTTGAAGAAAAGCTTTCTTTGGCTTGCATAGAAAATGTAAAAAAAGTAATGTCCAAAATTTTTATTCTTTCACCAGCGTCAGGACAGTTTTTTTTTCCGTTTTGGAAGAGGATGCATTTTGTGACCCAAAATCCACAAGAGAATAAAGCAAAATGAGAAGAAAGAAGGAACAGCGAGTTGAAAGCAAGCAAAAGTTTTCTGAGAATCAATTAGAGCCTCCAATCCAGTTTTTAAAGAATTATTTTTGATACAAAAATAGTTTACCAACTTTTTTTTTTCTGTGAATAAAGAAATCGGACTTTGCAGATGTCAAAACATTCCTCATTTTTTCTTACGTGAATAGTGAAAACTGCAAATGTCAAAACCGCAAGTGTTAAGGGATTGTTGTACTCTGGGGTAGTGTAAATGCTCACCACTTTATCATGTTTTATCTTTTTTCTGTCTTTGTGTGGATTTGTATTATTTTATCCATGATTGAAGAGGCCCTAAGGTACAGAGAGGCCTGCAAGAAGATAAAGAAAAATCAGTTACATCATAAACAGTCTTACTTGGCTGAAGAAACGGGAAAAAACAAGATTAAAACTGAGAAAGAGAGGAAAAGAATAGGGAGCTGGTGATGACCAATGTAGTTTGCCTCCTCCTGTTTCGCAAGAATTAATTTACTTTTAAAACCTAAAAAAAAGCTGAAAAATGATGATATAATTAAATTACATTAAATAATTAATCAAATATACAAAGTGCACAATTTATATTTGGTCAGTGGCATCAGTTAAGGTATTCTCACAGCAATTCAACACTGGAAGGTACCTGGTCGAATCTCAGCGGTCCTGAAGTAGAATTGCAATTTTGAAGAGATTTTCCCTACATCTGTCATGATCTGTTCTCGATTCAACAAGACAGGCCCAACTCTGAATCCTTTTTATGAGAAACAGAGCCCCAGAGGTCTTGACCGAACCTGAATACAGCCGATCAGGTGCCTTTTTAAAATAAAATTTAATTAAAGTTTAAAAACAATTTATTAAACACACAAGAAAATAATAATTAAAACCAATAAATTTCCTTTTAAATTTTAAACAAACAATTAAAACTTTTATAAATTTAAATAAACAGTAATTTCTTACAAAGCGTTTGCCAGACCATTTAGAACCAGGGTGGATATGTACTCACTATTTCCAGTCAATTCGTAGTGGACTGAAACACTCTATTTTAGGGAATACAACACTTTTGAGGATCGCACACTTCTCTTGTCTCTCATCTACACGGAATCTTGTTCACCTCTCCGACTCGACTGTCTCGTCCCTATCCTCTTTTATTTTTTTACTTTAGGCCTAATCATGAAATCTAAATCATAACATTGTCACTTTGAAATCAATTGAAATGTGACACATCTACATAAAATAAATCTCCCTTTTTCTCCCAACCTTTCTCTTGCTAATCCGAGGATACCTTTTTAGCCTGTAGAGTTTATTTTGTGTGTCTTAAGTTATCGAGTATTAGTTGTAAAAAGTTATAATTTGTTATTTCAAATGTAATTAATTTGTTAAAGTCGTGAGGTACGGTCGAGAATGAGGTAGTTTAGAAAAAACACCTTTTTCATTTTTTTACCATTGTTTCAACCTTTATTCGGGTCATCTTCAGGGCATAAAGTGTGTTGTTATTCTTGGGGTGTCATGTTTTGTGTGAAAATGTGAAATGTGAATTTGTATTCTGCTATGATTGGCATCTCTCAATTTTCAGATAAACATTTCTTAATTTAAGAACCTATCTGCTGCTGGATCAACACTATTTTAATGTCCTTTTAATAATATCAGACTGTAAGATAATTTGGATTTGTCCAAATATTTATATTTTCATTTTAATGTGAAATTGATTTTTTTTTTTTTTTAAATAACATAAAGTTAAAAACCTAAAAGACATACACTTTTTGATTATTGTTGCACCTAAATGTAAACTAATGTTTTTTACACCTTACATTACAAATATTTATACGTTTAACAAGAGAAGACGAGAGACCGATTTTGATAAAACTTTTCTTTGTAATTCTATGACCTAAGGACCAAAAAATAAAAAGTTTAAATAATTTGTCATTTTTTTAAATATAATTTTCTGTCTTTGTTGCATATATATTTTAAAGTTATTATATATAAATCAATCTGTTTTTCATCTAGGATAAGAAAAGAACTGGAGACACTGAATTATATTAAATGATAATAAATTAATATGTACATAAAACATGTAATTAATATTGGTTATGGTATTTACAGTTATTTTTGCAATATATTAAAGTGAGTCAATTTAATTTCCTTAACTTAAAAAGATATATAGATATGACAATTTCAGATCAGCTCAGACACTTGGAACTGTATCTCCTTGATGAGTACCAAAAAGGAAGAAAAGTCGCAGACTTGTACGAAATAGTTCAATATTTTGCAAATATACTTCCAAGACTGTAAGTCGATTAAATTTGTTTGTACGAAATTATATGTTAATTAATAAGTTAATTTATTTTAGTTATTTGCTCATCACTGTCGGATTAATATATATGAAAACCAACCCTAGCCTGCGACCTTCGATAATGAAAGACCTGGTCGAGATGTGCCGTGGGGTTCAGCATCCTCTAAGGGGGTTGTTTCTTAGGAATTATTTACTGCAATGTGTGAGAAATATATTGCCCGACACGCCTGATGAGGTCAATGGTGGAAAGGTATTATTAGTTTTCATGGAATTTAACGTATTTCAATAATATTTTTGTAGGTCCAAGACTCGATTGATTTTATTTTAATGAATTTCGCTGAAATGAACAAGCTTTGGGTTAGAATGCAGCATCAGGGCCATTCGAGGGAAAGAGAGAGACGGGAAAAAGAGAGGGAGGAACTCAGGCTTTTAGTCGGGACCAATCTTGTACGGCTGTCACAACTAGAATCAATCACTCTTGACAAATACTGCAAGGTAAAAAAATAAATATAAAATTAAAATTTTTAATGTGGCATTAACTTTTGTTCATACTCTAGCTTGTGCTTCCTGGAATTTTGGAACAAGTTGTAAGCTGTAGAGATGCAATTGCTCAGGAATACCTTATGGAATGCATTATTCAGGTATGTTTAAATCAAATTTTATTATATATTATGAATTCTTTTAAATTATTTAATTTTGTTTATTATTAACTAATTATTATAATAATTAATTAACTGAATTGAGTATACTAATAATACAAATGATAATAAATGATATTTGCTAATATCATAAGATAAACAGTGTCACATTACAGCTTAAATAACTGCTTCCTCTCTTTTCTACCGGCTGTTTCTACGGCTTTTCGCCTCTTACTGCCAGGTCGGAGGGTTTTCTTATTCATGACATTTGAATAGTCTTCACTTTTATTTTTCACAGTGGGTTGTCAGAATTTACAGACCTTGAGTATGGACATCAGTATTGATCATATTTTACGTTTGTCTTTTATTTGATGCCCATTCCGGGATGGACCTCGTGGCGGCGGTCTGCTTTTACAGGGACTGGAAATTATAACACAGTCTGCCAATTTTCTGGCGTCATACAATGATTATTCATGTTGTCCTGCACTCATTTATACAGGCGTATTATTGCATACANATATATATATATATGTACATAACGATTTAAAATAACAAAGTAATTCTTCACACACAATTTAACCTTCTTTGCCAGTCAAGCTTAAATAACCATACTCAGATTAAATATTTTCAGCAAAATGGTCGCTTCAACTTACATTCCCATTAGGCAGGGTGCCCAATGGAGCGATGCAACATGAAATGCAGCAAATAATGCGATAAGCAGTTTGGCACCATATTGCTTACTACGGGTATTCCTTGTGTAAGCAATGAAACCACTGCACACCAGTGCGATCACGATGCAATGTCAATGATTATTATTAGGATCATAGCGGTTGAGGTGACACAGATTGCCAATTGCTACAGGAAGATGTCTCTGCTGCTATTTTTTTTATCTAAATAGTTGAACAGGTTGCAAGGAAAAAGAGCAAAAAAAATGAAGCGGAAAATATTATTAACTTTTTATTAGTGTATGCAATATTTTCTCGTTTTTCTGCTTTTGTAAGTACCAGTAAGCAATTATGGCATCCTCCTCAGAAGAGCTCATGATTACATTTTGTAGAAAGGTACTGTGGTATATAAATGTGCCATGGGCAATGAAAGATAGCTTCATGTTGCATCACCTATCGCATCGCTCCAGTGGTCACCCTGCCTTAAAGTCAACTCGAACTGTAATAACTTAAATTAATAATTCAAATTGTTTAATTTCCCCCTGAGATTTGAGTTATCAAGAGTCGACTGTATTTTAAGTATTTTTCTTAATTCAACTACCCTCTCAAGTTAACTTTTCTTTGTTGAATTGTCTTCTCAACAAAGGATTCCATTCACCTATGTTCTATTGTACTCACACTGATCTACTTTTTTTCTCTAAGTGTTCTATGTATGTTCTAAGTTTCTACTTAATAATTCCTGATGTCCCACCATTCTGACATTTTTGGGTGTTGGTGTTTCAATTATTTTATTTCTTATAATTTTATTTTGACGGTCCACAAGGAAGTATCCCAACCTATGCAGAGGACACCGTAATCTTATTAGCACACTCCAATCATATCCTAGCCACGGAATCACCTTATTACCGACTGGTGCAATTGGTGGCAGATCAGGTTGAATGGGCTAAAATACTAATGTTACATTTACGCTCAAACATCAACTCTGCCATCAGTGCACATTATCAAGATAACACCACCATCGACCAGTTCACTACCTTGGGCTTTACTTAGATAGAAGACTTATGTGGAACCCACTTATAAGTTGTTTTTTTCTTTTACAAGAGTTTGCAACAGCAGAGGTCATATAAACAAACCCTCAGGTGTTTTTTTTTTGCAGCAGGGCCGATGGATTCGAACACGGGACCTTTACCTTACAGTGATGAGTGTTGTGTCAATGCCTAAACTGTAGCAGCCACTGACGCCCCTGAATACATATAAGATTAAAATGACAAAAACTAACAAAAGATTTGGACTGCTCAGGCACCTACTAGGACCAAAATCAACACTTAACAAACTAGCCACTTACAAAACACTCATAAGACTATCTAGTCTTACAAAGTCAAACTGTTGGGCTCAGCTGAATCATACAGCATCCAAAGAATTTGATCCTTTCAGTCTAAAGTTCTCGACCTTGAGGATACCTCAATGCTCCGTCACCAATCAAATGTTCCATAAAGACTTTACCCGTTTGAGAGAAGCCCATTCATGAAGAATCAACACAATTCCTCAATTTCCATTCTAAACTATCCCTCCACCCTAACCCGCTACCCCTGTTTCCTCAACGACTCTCCCTTACAATCCTCCACGCGATTTAAATGATGATGGCCTCATCTCCTATCTTAACTCACCCAATTAAATAAAATATAATTCCAGCACTGGTTGGTTTCTCTCCCTACTGCCTCCTGCTCTGACAGATCTGTATATAATTATACTATTTGCTCAATGTATGTTTTGTTCAGATAGCAATAAATCAAATAAATAAATAATTTCATTTAGTTTCCTTTAATTTTACATCATTGCACTGCTGTGGAGGACCTTACACGAAAATGTGTTTTATAATTTTCAATTTACTGAATTTGTATTTCTAGGTTTTTCCTGATGAATTTCATTTAGCCACACTTACCCCTTTTCTACGTTCTTGTGCACAACTTCAGCCTGGCGTTAACGTGAAGAATGTGGTTATATCACTAATTGACAGGTTGGTCGGATATGCCCTCGGACCAGATGTTGTCGATGCACAAGCTGTTTCACAACTTTTCGATATTTTCTCAACCCAAGTTTCTGCTATTATTCAAGTAAGTTCTTCAATCTAAAAACTTAAATTCACATAATATTTTATGTTAATTATAGACAAGGACTGATTTACCAACTGAAGATATGATTGCCCTTCAAGTCTCATTAGCTAATCTGGCTCTAAAATGCTATTCAGACAGGATAGACTATGTTGATAAAGTTTTGCAAACGACACTTGAAAATTTTGAAAGAGTTCAACTTAAAAAGTAATTGTTTAATATATTATTTATGTGTTTATAAATACCTAATTTTTTGTTTTTGTTCTTTTAAGGGTTGAATATGCCGGCCAGATTTCACGAGAATTAATGCGTCTCCTTTGCATTCCCATACAGGCGTACAACAATATATTAACTGTTCTCATGTTAGAACATTTTACGCCTCTCCTTAATATTCTTGATCAGCAGGGAAGAAAAAGCATAGCTACATCTATTATTGAAAACTGCTTGAATAGCAATACCTACATCGGCGAGCAGAATGAAGTATGCGACTCAAATCAAATTGCAATTAATAAATAATCGAATTAATACAATAATTTTATAGGTTGATTCAATATTGACGATTATCGCTCCACTTATTCATGACGAAGATGAAAAAGATGTGGTTGAACTGGATGCCGAAGATTTCGCCGAAGAACAAGGACTTCTTGGAAGGTACATAAGAAGTCTCATTTAATCATTCACTTGCTGATAAATTTTTGTTTTCCACAGGTTTGTGCATCATTTGAAATCAGACGTAGCTGATCAACAATATCTAATATTGAGCTGTGCAAAGAAGCATTTTTTGAAAGGCGGAGAGAAGAGAATAAAATACACCCTGCCTCCTCTTATATTCCAAGCTTACCAACTAGCATTTAAGTATAATGCAATTAAGCAAGAAGTATATATTTTTTATAATGGATATCAAACTTAAATTAGTTTTTTGGAATGTAAACTTTTTTTTTTATATATGTAGGATGAACTTTGGGAAAAAAAGTGTCTTAAGATCTTTCAGTATTGTCACCAGACGATTATGGAGCTTGTAAAAGCAGAATTTGCTGAACTTGCACTTAGGCTATTTCTACAAGGGACACTTGCAATTGGAGAAATACGCTTTGCTAATTATGAGACCATAGCTTATGAGTTTTTATCCCAGGTAGTAAAAAAAATAATTAATAGTAATTAACAAAAATAAATATATGTATACATTTTTTTTTTCTTTTTAGGCGTTTATCCTGTATGAGGAAGAAGTTTGTGATTCCAAATCTCAGCTTGGCGCAATAACTCTTTTGGTCGGGTCTTTTGAAAGGATGTCGTGCTTTTCACAAGAGAACACCGAGCCAGTAAGAAACCAGTGCGCACTGGCCGCGTCGAAGCTGTTGAAAAAGCCGGATCAGTGTAGAGCCGTGTCAACGGCAGCACATTTGTTTTGGTCGGGCAAAACTTCAGATGGCAAACAGGTATTTCAATTGATCTGTGAGTTTAACATTTGTTAGCAACGATTCTCCTTGATATACAATTCAATTTTGCCATCTTCTGTAACTGTTCTGTTCAGTTGGTTCTTGTTAATTCGAAACTTGATAAGTCAAATTTACTGATATGATCTCAGCAGGTCACTGTGGTAAATCGACAAATCCTGTGTATTTTAATATGCTCAGTGATAAAAAATATTCTAATAGGGGGAGAGAGAGCATTCTATAAATTGAAATGGTGCCACTTCCTCTCTTAATAATTGAAGCATTTGCTTGTGATATAATTTCCACGTATAGTTTACATCGCTGCAGCCTAATGTTTCTTTCAATTTTCTCTAGTTTGTTATGTTCATCGGTGAGTGTTTTGTCAACGTGTTCTCAGCACTGGCCACTTTGGAAAATGATTTATTGTAGATTTAGACTAAGGACACATGCCACATTGAACCAAAAGCCACTTCATGATATACATATATATGTATATAAACAGTTGTGCAGTGAGATTGGAATTGAGTGCTTGGTGTGGCCAGTTTGAAGTCCAGATTTGAACCCAATCGAACAAATTTGAGACCAAGCTAAGCATCAAGTATGACAGCCTTAACACCCTAGTAGAGTTGGGAACGGCTGTTCTTGATGAATGGGAAAGAATTCCTCGGGATTTTATCAGATATCTTTTTCAAGGAATGAAAAGGCGTTTAAAGGACGAGATTCAGGCCAGAAGTGGAAATACTCATTATTAAAGGGGATAAAAAGTCTTTTTACATTTTTATTTGTTTTAGAATTTTCTGTTTTTATCAATGAGGTGTTAATTAGGTAATAAACATTTTTTTAAATGTCTTATTTTTACAACCAAACATATTTTTGGTAGACAAAATATGAATAAACCTAAATGCATTAAAATTTAAGGCTAATTTTTTCCAACAATGTATTAAGAGTCGACTGTATTACCTAAACCAAATATTTTAAAAATAAGCAGAACAGGATGATCACAGTTGATGACAATTACTATAAATCATACTTGGCAGAAGGTATGATACCCCTTATTCATACCCCATTCTGCTTTTATATTTATTCAGATGTGTTTCACATTTTGCCATCTTCTATGCCTCCATACTTATCATACCAAAGCAGAAATAAAGAGAAGAGGGTGATCATTAATTTGAACATTTGATTTCAGTTATGATCACTCATCATATTATTCTCCTTATCACTTTTAGTTTCATATAAGTGTGTTTTGGTATTTTGCTACCATCTGTGATGTATAAATCATACATAGGCCAGGAATTTTGGCAGAAAGCAAAACCAAGTAGATCAAGACGATCTACGATTATGTTCTCCTGATGAAACTATTAATTTATTTAATAAAATAGTTAAAATTTTTGTATTTGTTTTAGTTACAAGATGGCAAAAGGGTTCTTGATTTTTTAAAAAAGGGTTTGAGAATCGCTCATCAGTGCATGGACGTGTCAGTTCAAACACAGCTGTTTGTCGAATTGCTCAATCACTACATCTATTTTTATGAAAAAGGAAATGAAATGGTATGTCAAAAGTATAAAATAGTCATATTTGTACAAATATTGACGCCAATTTTTTTTTCCCAGGTGACCATAGCAATTTTGAACCAGCTCATCGGAAAAATAAGAGAAGAGTTACCAAATCTTGGGTCAAACGATGAAACTGAACAGATTTCAAAACATTTGAATAACACGCTGCAGCACATTAAAGACAGGGCTGCCAGCGGTGAAGTCGACTACAAAGGACTTGCGTTATAATGACCTACATTTATTTGGTAATCTGAGCTTTAGATATCTATAATTATTAATTTATTATACATACATGAAATATACAGATATATATATTGTATTAATTGTTTAAAAAAATAAATAAATTTATTAAATTAGGTATTAGGAATTTTTCTTTTTCGTGGCTTCCTGAACTTGTTTAATAATGAAGTAATGGTACATTAGATACCAGATCAAAATTTATTGTATATATTTTTTATTTTTTCTTCTTCTAAAATAGTTTTTTTTATTTATTAGGGTTTATACCAAAAAAACAAGTGGTTGTTGATTCTTTTACAAAAGGTTAGTTTATATCAAAAACATTTGAAGGGGTTAAATCCATACTGGTGTAAGACACTTTTTTTGTCAAAAATAAGGTAAATCCAGACTTTTTTTAACTCTCCCCCTTCCCTGTCATACTGTAGGGAGACGTTATACCGACGGATCTGCCGTACTCCAAACTTAATTCAAAAGTGCGCATGGGATTTGTTGTTTTGAGACTTAGTTCCTATATGGTTGCTAAGGAATTAGGAGGGGGAAGGGACTTAAAAATGAGAATTTAAACTGAATGGGTTTTTTCTCTCTCACATGTGTACGTATAGATTTTGTCAACAATTAAATTAATAAATAATATAAATAAGAACTAAACTGTTAAACATAACATAGTTGTATTTTATACATATATGCATACTTAAAACTTTGTTCTGTCAAATTTTATGTAAATATTAAACTAAATTAAAGAAACAACCGGATTCATTTCAGGCCGTTTCTCACCCATCATCAGGAAACCCTCACAGTCTCGCTTTCTTTCCCACAGCATTTACATCCTGTAAAACCTCCAATTGTCTCTCCTCAAAGAAGGACAATAAGAGACAAGTGTGAAATAAATTTGCCCTTCTTTGTGGAAAGTGAGACCACGAGGGTTTCTTGATGATGGGCAAAAAATAGCCCGAAATGTACATAAAAAGGATAAATATGTTTAAAACAAACTAAATTGTAAAGGAATAAAAAAAAGGGGGGCGTGGGTGGCCGCGGTAATGGTTTAGGTGTTGACACGGCAACATTTAGGAAAAAAGAAAAAGTATTTATAATAATCAGACTGCATGGAATGTGCAATAATTTTTAAAAAATTGTAAAATCCCACCAAATTGAGTTTAGTATCTACTAAAATTTATTATATATCTAAACCTGTTCTGCATAGAACCGAATACAGATTGTCACTGATGTGTCCTATTCTTTGAAAAGTATTTACAAATACAATTACAAGGACTTCTGTTTCTTTTATTGCACTTTAAAAGAAACCCAAAATACGGGAGTGAGGACACAGGAAATATAAAATGATAGATTTTCTATTCAAACCACAAGCTACTTGGTAATGTGAGCTAGATGAGTCTTGACTGTGGATTGGGGAACAAAGACCATGATACCATGAAGTCAGTGGATTAGTGTGTTATCTTAATACCTTTACTTTGGTAATGAAGATACATACGGTATACCACACTGTCGGTACCTGTGCAGCACGGAGACCAGAAATCACCTCAGACAACCAAATTTAGGACATCCCACAATCACCATTTTTATAGATGATAGTTTTATTAAAAATCAAGCGATATGAAAATGCAATTTGACAGCCTCTGGCATTAAAAACTTTATCACTATACAGAGGATATCAATCCTAGAACTCTCTCATATTTTGAAACCAGTTTTAAGTACTTACACCAATTTCATCCAAAAACTGCTCCCTGTAAGAATAAAATTAAACCATTGACTACTTGGCAAACACAGCCCATAGCATAGTCCATCAAAGTGCAAAAATACTATGAAACTGGTGCACAGTCTGATTTCTCCTGAAACTTACAAACTATAGAACTTATGCAAAATATATCTGGTAAGAGAGTGTAATATGTACAGGGATAATTCTGTAAATAAACATACCAAACATTAAATATATAAGCAAAGTGGTATGGCCAATGAAAAACATCAATTTTGACACACTAAGTTTTACCAAATTGAGTATAAAATATTAACCAACTAAAGCACCCCCTCCAAAAAAATAAATAAAATAATATTAATTAATTAATCCATATATGTTTAGCGGTCATAATTGACCATATTAATTATTTCAATTAACTGTTATTTTTATCTAAGGTCTTGGTTGAGATGAAAAAGTTAGTCACCAGTGGGATTTGAACCCACTCCCTTTGGCTCAATACACCGCTATTCTAACCACTTGATCTATCGTGACTTCTAGGAATGATAGCTCAAGTGGTTAGAGCAGCGGCGTAGTTAGCCGAAGGTATTGGGTTCGAATCCGCTCGTTACACTGACTCATTTCAACCAATACCTTACATAAAGTATAATAATAACAATAATCTATGGGTTTTTTTTATATTAACTGTTTTTAGTTTTAGTTGTTTTTTTTTGTTAACCTTTTCAACTCAACAAGACATTAGATAAAATAATAATTAATTGAAATAATAATAAAAATAAATAGATAAATATAATAAAATAAAAAATAAGTGTGAAAGGTAAAAAGAGTACGTTGAAAACAAACAAAAAAAATACTAAAAACATATTTTATTCTAATATGGTTAGACATGTATGTATATAATAATGTATATACAAGTTGAAGTATAGAGTGAAAAATAAAAATTTATATAAAATGAATTAAGTTTATCTTCGGAATCCGCCTCCTCCACCGCCTCTGAAGTCCCTTTTAAATCCACCTCCTCCACCTCCACGGCCACCTTTAAATCCGCCTCCTCCTCCTCCACCCCCTCCTCGGCCACCTCTAAATCCGCCTCCTCCTCCTCGTCCGCTTCTAAAGCCTCCATCACCACCCCCTCGTCCGCCTCTACCTCCTCCGCCACCACGTTTGAATCCACCTCCACCGCCTCTACCGCCTCCTCCTCGGCCGCCACCTGCTCCCCTACCGCGACCGCCACCTGAATTTCCTTGCAAAAACCTCTGGACTTTCAGCAATTTCCTTGGGTCTATGTAAACCTGGAAAAGTTACAATTTTTTTATAAAGTATAATACATATTAAATTAATATTTCTATAGTATTTTTTGAAAATATAGTTACTAAAACTGAAAAATGTTAAAATTCTGATTATCAGTTTCATTCATTTAAGGCCAATGTGGCAGTTTTGACCAAAGTGATTATTGCCTTGGTTTTTCCATGCTTATGACACACGCATCAATGCCAATTTATGTATTCGTAAGTTCTTAAGTCCCACAAAGCAGTAAAATTTTCTTCCCACTGCTCAACTTTCCATAATTGTTTTTACGTTTTGGAACTCAATAAAATATAAAATAAAAATACAAAAAACATTGGTTGTATGAATCACTCAAAGAAATGCCTCATGTGTCGAGCTGACCTAAACCAATGCAATTACTGAACACAGGCATTTTCAAGGGTTATCTAGACCAGTAACCAACTCGGTTTTAAAACCAACAGGTAGTACACACCGCTACATGAGTCAGCACAATGCTTCAACCATTACGGATGAGTCAACGACTCTTGTTTTTCTCTTGATAAACGCTTTAGTCAAATCTGATGGGTTCTGGTTAAGCTGTTTAACAATCCGTAACAGATCACCCTCTAACATTCACCAGTTCTATATATCTTTATTATGAAGTATCTTATTATTATCCAAATACTTTTATATATTATACAGCCCAAGTGGGGCAATTTTATTTAACTCTTACTCTGATCTTAGCAAAATGGTATGTTTTTCTGTCTGCGTCTTCCATATCAACCCAAACTTTATGGTCAGCAAGGACCAGCAATCAAATGTGTGAATAATGCAGTGAATTTGTGAATAATCAGGATCTAGGTATGTTCAAACTTTGTTTCAAAAACATTAACATTGTTTGATCATATAATCCTGATTATCTGTAAGATAAATTTGATCATCAATCTACTTCAGCATTAACATAATGAATACTGCAATTAAATGCTAGTATGTATAAATGCGTGGTGTTTAGTGATTTAATGTGTCGACATAATCCTGAAAGGATAATCAGGTCGAACCATTACCCACGTTTTTTCCCAGTCAGCTTCTTTGAGGTGAACGGAGGTATTGCATCCCAATATCTGGATAAGAGAGTAAAGCAACATATCTATGATTGCAAAAAAACCAAGCAAAATCCTACAACACTGGCTACCCACCATTTTGAACACAAACACAACTTCAACAATCCAAATATATTACACACAGAACAAAACAAACATAAACGTAACTTTTTAAAAATGGTTTTCATCAATAGAGGTAAATACAGCATCAATTACAGAACAGACTATGTCAACTCAGTTCCAGCTACGCCAATATCATTAATCAAATTAAATATCGATAACATACATTTATCGTCATCACATCACACAAAACATATAACATAAAACAATCATCACATTCCACACATCAAACATTTCTACATAGTCTAATTCTTCAATAATTTGGCTTTCCTTTCCCTAATTATCCCCATCTATATAATCCTGAAAGGATAATCTGGAATTCCCAACGTTTTTTCCCATTGTCAGCTCCTTTCACCTCAAAGAAGCCGACTCCTCATATAAAAATGTCTTCTATACAGACTTCCTTCCCCATCCCTTCAAAATAAACAATATAAAACAGCAATATCTCACTGGCACTCTCAACATGACAGAAGAATGACACAATTACGCACAAAACAAATACTTTGAGTGAGTACAAATACTTTGATTGAATATAACAAAAAAATTGTTTTTGCATTGTATAAATTCATTTTTCCCCCACATCCTACATGTATTTGTTAAATTTAAACAATGTCTGTAAATCCCAGGCCCTGAAGACGATCTCAATAAAGATCGAAACGTTGGCACGACAAAGAAAATGTTTTTCTAAAACCTACGTCACACCAGATAGCATCTCACCATCTCCAAATAATCATTGACTAACGGTCACTAAACACCACACATTAAGAAATAACAAATACATGTTAAAAATGACATAGAGTGTTAGGGTCTTAGAAACTCTTAACCAACTTTGCAACACATTTCAGTTGGTGGAGAAGAAAGTAGTTTTTGGTTAGATAAATATACATTTCTTTTTTTTTGTCAGTTAAAAGTAAATATTATTAATGGTCAGTTATTGTGGTCTGGCCCATTGTAAACACTACTGCTGATTTCTTTGCATTTTATAATTAAATTGTGAAGTTTCCCCATGCGCTCTGAGGGTGATGGACCTGTAGTTTAAATGTTTCCGAACATTTTGATCTTCGTGGTGATTAGTGACCGTTAATCGATAATTATTCAGAAATCGTGAGATGCGATCTGGACCGTATCTGAATAATTATTTTGATCTACTTATCCTCATTTTGGTTAGTCAAATGAATATAAGATTCATGCTATCTTCAGTGGAGGGTTTTAACCATGCTTATTATTAAAATCCAAAAATAGAAATACGCCGTAATGTGCCTGACAAAAATAGACAGTGATGACCAAATACACTTTCAATTTTGTGCTTTGACAGGCTAAACAAAGTTGAACTGCCTATAAAAGGAAACTACTTTGGAATGGGATTTTGTCCGTTTATTAAAGTATCCATTTACTAGAAGGGCCCAAATTTAGAGAAAAAATTAAATCGTGAGATTTCCTCCCTTGGAGACACACTGAAGGTAGCGAAATGCTGAAATACACCTGAAAGATCAAAGATAGGCAAACCAAAAATGATCATAAGTGGCCACAATAATTTAGGCGTTCTCGGCGCTCATCACGTAAGATAAAGGTCCCGGGTTCGAATCCAGCAACCCTGCTTCAAACCTGACATACTTACAAATGGGCTTTTTTTTCAAAAACACTAGCACCCTGAGGGTTCAAATAACCTCGTAGTTGAAATACTCTAGTTAAAAAAAGAAAAAATCACAGAAAAAATATGATGTAAGTAAAAAATTAATTCAATCCTGACTAATGTTTGTATTTTCAACAGCAACTATTTCTCTTTCTCATGGACTTTATCATTTCCACCCTTTCTCTAATAAAAATAATTTTTTTTCATGCTCATCTCTGAATCGGTTTGTCACAATCACAATCTGAGAACTGACCAGGAAACGCCAGGTGTGAGACTTCCCAAAACATTACTGCTTGCAACTTGCAAGTAACACAAGCCATTTTTCATTCATGGAATCCTGAGTTATTTTGTTTTGATATCCACTCATAAGAGATTTCAAATTGAAAAATCTATAAATTTAGTGTCTGTGTCTTTTAGTAGAAGTACTTTTGTTTCAGCATCATTCCAGCTATTCGGCTAAACTGACCAGGTCTAGTCCCAATTAGTTCAGGCTAGCAGTCAAATTTAATTAATATATTAAAGAAATGTCTTTACCATATCATTTTTTCCAAAACTCTTAGCCTGCATATTTTCCAATTTGATCGATACGAAATAATCATGAACCGGTCCGAAAATTTCATCAATTTTCCCGATCTGGTTCTTGTCCTCGGTGTATATAGGAGCGTTGAAATATGGCACGTCTTCCTTCAGTCCCACCTTGACGACGATGTCGTCTTGGCACGGGTGTATAAAATTGCCGAGTGGGATCACCTGAAATGAACAACTAGTGAGATAAACGTACGAACCAAAACAGGGTTATGAAAGAACGCAAAGGCTTACCGAGTCAGGAGGGCCCATGTCTTGAAATCGTCCTCCTCCCCTGCCTCCACCGCTTGGCCGGCCTCCTCTTCCTCCGCCTCCTCTGCCTGTTAACAATGTAAACAACTTTTTAAACTGCAAACTTGGGGACCGCGGTAGCCGAGTGGTTAGCATGAGAGACTCTCACGCCGCGGTCGTGGGTTCGATTCCCACCGTTGCCCCTGGCCCTTTTTTCCCAATAACCCAAAAAAAAAAAAAAAAAAAAAAAAAAAAAAAAAAAAAAAAAAAAAACTGCAAACCGTCCTCAAATTGTTGTGAAATTAGCGTCAACACTATATTTTCAAGTATATATTTTTCAAGTTATTTTACCAAACTGTATATTTATGTCCAATAACGTTAACTACATTAAAATAAAAAATAAACTCATCTTACAATAAAAAAATACATACATTTATATGTTAACGATTAAAAAAACACACATTTTACTATTGCTATTCTCATTAATAAAGATGAGATGTAATAAAAACTATCTTAAAGTTTTATTAATTTACAACCTTAATTTTAAATAATGAATTTGACTTGAAAATAAAAATTTAAAAAACATACCACCTCCTCTTCCTCTGAACATAATTATTGTCGAAAAAAAGATTAAAATTTTTTATTAAAAAATTCACTAAATCTTCCTCCGAACAATTGAAATATGCACTTAAATTTAACTCAACAATTTAAGTAAATATTATTTAAATTATAAGTAGAATTGTTAAAACTAAACAATGCGGTTCCGCACGTGGCCCATCTCAAGCACTAGCCGGCAGTAAACAAAATCTCAACTTTTATAACGGCACATCTCGTGTGCCAAGGCAACGTCACTTTTGGGGAAAGCGCGTCATTTATTTACTTTAATGTTATGTAATTTATTAAATACATAACGTATAGGTAAATTATGAAATTATAATAAAATAATTAAAACATTGGAAACGTATAAAATATATACAGGGAGTCAGGCTACTCGTATCTCAAACTTTCCCAGTACATTTCACACCTTCAAAATGAAAAAAAAAAAAATGTATGAACCATGCTTTGTTTGGTTTTTCAACTACTGGAAATTTTCTTGGAGAAGGTCCATTGCTTCAGTTAGCAGTCATACTACTTTGATTCTTCATTCCACTATTGGATCATATTCTATGATTTTGTCTTTCAACTTTTCCAACTTCCTTTTTTTGAATTATATCCTCTTATCCTCTTCTTCTGTGGTCAATTTGAGCCATATCATTCCCACTCTCCTCTAGATCTCAACTTGGGAGCAACTCTCAACCATGGATGAGTGAAAGCACAGATAATGAAAGTCACTGTATAATAAAATATAGAAAACAATAATGACAAATATATATTTTTTTAAATTTTAATTATTAAGAAAGAAAAGCAGAAGAGAAAGAAGACAAGAAGAAACAGAGGGGAAAATTGAAAAAGGAAATGATTCATGTCACTTTTAAAAACTCAGATACCTTGGAACTAAAAACAGCAAGTGGAAACAAATTCCAAAGTCCTGCTCCTGCAATTCTGAAATAAAAGGCTAAAGTTTAGAGGAGACTTGGAATATGATTGGTGCATTTGGATAAGGAATGCAGGAAAAAATTTGATAGATATTGAGGATATTTATTTGATTTAATTTTAAATAAGGTAAAGTATAAAATTATACATAAAATAATTACAACTGGAAACATAAAATATATACGGGGAGTCAGGCTACTCGTGTCACAAACTTTTCCCGTACATTTCACATCCCCAAAATGACAAAAGAAAAGTTTGTATGAACCATGCTTTGTTTGGTTTTTAATCTACTGGAAATTTTCTTCGAGAAGGCCCATTGCTTGGGTTGCTAGTTGTACTACTTTGATGCTTCATTCCACTATTGGATCATATTCTATGATTTTGTCTTTCAACATTTAAGCTAATCAAAAGATTTCTACAAATTTTTTCAACTGTCAGTTCCTTTTTTTTCCTCTCTTCTCCATCTTCATCTGTGGTTGATTTGAGTCATACTCATTCCCACTCTCCTTTAGATCTCAACTCGGGGCAACCATGGTTGAGTAAAAGCACGGATAACGAGAATCACTGTATTATAAAATATGCAAAACAATAATATCAATGATATGTTCTTTAAAATTTTAATTATTTATAATAATACAATGAAACCATGTTAAAGAAAAGCAGAAAGTGAAAGAAGATAAAAGTAAATAGGGGAAAAATGGAAAGGGAAGAAAAGGAGACAATTCATGTTGCAAAACATAGAAAACAATAATGACAATAATATATTCTTTAAAATTTCAATTATTAAGAAAGAAAAGCAGAAAGAGAAATAAGATAAGAAGAAACAGGAGGAAAAATGGAAAAAGGAAACGATTCATGTCACTTTTAAAAACTCAGATACCATGGAACTGAAACAAGCCAGCAAAAGCAAATTCCAAAGTCCTGCCCCTTTAACTCTGAAATATAAGGCTAAAGTTTTATTTATTTATTTACGGATCGAAATCCACTATAAAAAAGACATTTTACAATTACAAAAAATACAAATAATATATGTAAAAATATAAATAATATATATAAACAGAATAAGGACATATATACATGGTAATAATATAAATGGTTTTAGAGGAGGTTTGGAATAAGATTGGTACATTTGGATAAGGAATGTGGGAAAACGGTTTATATTTATGAAGGGTATTTATTTCATTTAATTTTGTGTGTATAATAAAACTATAAGTTTATAAGTGCTTACAATGTCAAGATTGTCAATGATGTTAATATAGGAAGAATTATGATCTGTTGGTTTAAGTTCAGAACGGTTTCTAATATAGGAATGATAAGCAATTGAAAGCAATGAGCAGATTGAGAATCTAAGGAAAGTGAACAAATAGCATTACATTAAGAAAATAAAGGAATTATTAGGGATTTAATAAGTAGAACTCTAGTTTATTGTGGAGTGAAAAAGCTAAGTGAAGGATCTTTTTAAGAATAGAGCTCCATGGTCATGCCATGTAAGGTTGGAGTTAAAAATTTTAACAAGCTGAGATTTTAAACTTTACAATGTTTACTAATTGTTTTTTCAGAAATTAATAAGAACTGGGATTTGTTAGGATGTGAAAGAATGCCGTTATTACATGACCATTGATTGAGAGAATGAAGATCATGGTTGAACAGACAGCTTCAAAGATGTTGCTTGTGAAACAATTGAACCTAAAGCTGAGTATCATCAGTATATAGATGAAATAGGTAAAAATTAAGAACTAATGGGAGATCATTTCAGAACGTGGAAAAGCGTAAAGGGCTACGAATAGGGCCATTTAAAAAAAATGTTACAAAAAAAAGGTTTGGACTACATATTCTGAAAAAATGAAAATATACTAATTATTTTTAGATAACAGTAAAACCAGCAATTCAATATGTACCAAAATACTTGAACCAATATGTACAAAATATTTGAAAAGAAATCTATTGTTTAAGAAAAAATGTATTAAATTATAAACATAAAAGTTAATATGCCAGCCAATGATGTAGAAAACAGCTACAGTACGCTGCTCTAGTTCATTGTACCATTGGGTATAAAACGAAAAAAATAATTTATATCTAAAACCTACAAAACTTTATGTAACATAGTTGAAATGTAAGATTACAAACAACTATGTACATGTATTGTAAAAAATTAACTTTATTAAATAACAAAATGATAGAATTGTTAAGGTAGTTTTTGAAAAGTGTTTAATCCAAATTTCATATGAATAAGTTAGTTTAAAAGAAAAAGAAAATATGTAAAAAATAAAATAAAATAAATGAAGTAAATTGTTATTTTAAACGCAAATTTTTTATATTGAATTGTTTATAGTTTGTATGGTAGTTAGCAAGTACTTCTTTTCGTCAGCCAATGATAAGAGGGAATGAACAATTGAACAAGGACTCTACTCTAGTTCATTGTGCATTGAGTAAAAAATGAAAAAAATAATTTATACCTACAACCTACAAAACTTTATATAATATAGAAATTGAAACGTAAATAAACAACTATATGCATGTATTGTCAAAAATTAACTTTATTAAATAACGAAATGATATAATAATGGTTAAGGTAGTTTTCAAAAAGTGTTGAATACAAATTTCATACGCACAAGTTAGTTTAAAAGAAAAAGGGAATATGTAAAAAATAAAGCAAATTTGTTAATTTAAACGCAAAATTTTTATTTTAAGTTGTTGGCAGTTTGTAGTTTATACGGTATTTGTCAAGTCGTCAGCCAATGATGACAGGGAATGACCAGAGGACCAGTGCTGTGCTCTAGTCTATTCTATTGCATCTTTGAGTTTGAGTCCATTTTTACTTCTTGCTCATGTTTTGTCATCATAGTCGGTGACATTTACTCTTGTTCTACCCGTTAAATGAAAGGTGTCTTTTTATTGGAACGCTAATTTGTGTCGAAAGGTTCGTTTTAATTTGTAAAACTTAAACAAATGGCAACTTCGAAGTCGACCAACACCTACAACAGACAGAATTGGGAAGATTCTGTAAGTAAATGATGTTTACTGTTGACGCGTTACTTTAGGTTACTATTGAATTTAACTAAAATAGTATAAAAAAATTGAAATTCAAGCGTATTTTATATTTTATTTTTGAATTAATACTGACTTTTTGAGCACAGGAATTCCCGATTTTATGTCAGACATGCCTGGGAGACAACCCGTATATACGAATGGTAAGTTAAAAAAAATAATAGAACTGTTTTTAAGACTGTATTGTTGATATTACGATTTGAAGGAATACTAATATTTTTGTTTATTCTAGTCAAAAGAGAAATACGGTAAAGAGTGCAAAATATGTTCTCGACCTTTCACCGTATTCCGTTGGTGTCCCGGCGCCCGGATGAGGTACAAGAAGACGGAGGTTTGCCAGACTTGTTCACGGATGAAAAACGTTTGCCAGACTTGCCTTCTCGACTTGGAATACGGGCTGCCTATCCAAGTTAGAGACGCCGCTTTGAAAATCAAAGATGACATTCCTAGATCTGACGTTAACAAAGAATACTATATTCAGAATATTGACAATGAGGTAAATTGTTCAGTAGAATTTGATGAAAATTATATTGTTATAACCCTTTCCCTTTGTAGATGAATAAATTAGACAAAACTCAACCGGGCTGCGTAGCAGGTGGAAAGAGCCAAGCGGCGAGTGACATGCTACTTAAATTGGCTAGAACGACTCCGTATTACAAGCGAAACAGGCCTCATATTTGCTCATTCTGGGTCAAGGGTGAATGTAGACGAGGTGAAGAATGCCCGTACAGGCACGAAACACCCACCGATCCTGATGATCCTCTTGCCGATCAGAATATCAAAGACAGGTTTGTTTCGGCTAAAAAAACTGGAGCAAAATTAATTAATTCGGTTTTTAATAAAATCTACTGTTTAGATATTACGGAGTTAATGATCCAGTTGCAAATAAATTGATGAGAAGAGCTTCGACAATGCCTAAACTTGAGCCACCAGAGGACAAAACTATAACTACCTTGTATGTTGGAAACTTGAGTGATAAGATTGGAGAAAAAGAACTTAGGTGTGTAATTATAAGAATTTAATACAAGTATTAAAATTTTTAAGGAAAAGATCAGTTTCTAAACAATTTTGTTTACTGTAGAGTGAAATTTGTTTAGATTAGATCCTAGCGCAATTTTATAAATTGTTTATTTTTCTTTTCAGAGATTATTTTTATCAATTTGGAGAGATACGATCGATCACGATGGTTCCGAGACAAATGTGTGCATTTATCCAATACGTGAATCGTAACCCAGCTGAGAGCGCCGCCGAGAAGACGTTCAACAAGCTTATATTGGGTGGCAGACGGCTTAATATTAAATGGGGCAAATCGCAGGGTAGACAGGGCGGCCCAGGTGGAATCGAAGACGTTTACGAACCGGTCCCCGGCTTGCCAGGTGCTTTGCCGGCACCGCCTGTTGAACTGAGAGACAATTTTTTCAACTTGCTACCCGGTACGGCAGAGGCTGGATTGGTCGCTCAGCAGCCTACGATGATGACTCCGCCGATGTTTGCCCCACCACCGCCGCCTCCTCCTCCTGCGCACTTCTTCTTCCCTCCTGCTGCCGGACTCAGGGTTTACACTCCCGCTGCCACTGTTGCTGCCACTCTTTGCCCACCTGGGACTTCTGTGGAGCCTATCCCTCCTCCACCTCCTGGTACAGTGCCACCATTGGCGATTCATTATCCTTCTCAAGATCCACGACGTTTAGGAACTTCAGAATCTGGAACTCCAAACTAAATCATTCTTTGTAAATATATGCTGGAAACATCTCCTGTTTCAATATAATCTAATTTCATAAATGTGTTTTATTGTAATGGTTATAGTTAATAGAAAATAGATTTTTTTTTTTTAATCCAACATTTCATTATCCATTTCACCTTTTAGTTTCTGCTTCATATTTAAGAAAACAAGTGTAAAATAGATTGTGTCATTACTTTATTATGCATTATCATTTATTTTCCTTCCTGTTCAAAAGCCACATTGATAGAAATGGTGAATGATGGAGTGAGTGCAGTGTTCATTACTTTTTTTAAAAAAGATAGTTCCTACTTACAATAAGTTGTTTTCCAATGATCCGGATTTCGAGCCCTTAGCTCATCGTCAGATTCAAGGATTTCTACAACCTGATGATAAGCTAAGGGCTCCAAATCCAGAATGTTGGAAAACAACTTATTGTGAGTAGGAACTATCTTTTTAAAAAGGCCACATTGATTTCCAAAATTATATCTCAAAGAAAAACATATTTTTTAGCTTATGTTGCTTACAACTGCAGTAGGATATATTTATCTATGTAAAGTTATTACATTTTTACAACACTAGCGCTAGGTAATATCATAATTTTGCAGAAGATGGATAATTTCTCTGGTGGAACTGCATTCTCCAATGTGGTGGAGGGTGGTCATTTTTTTATGTGACTCTACAAGATACAACTGCGAAGATCATTTAACTCTTAATGTACAAAAGTCATACCGAGAATAGGTAAAAGAGTATTACGATTTTTTTACAAAAAAACAAAAACAAAACTGCAATGTGGTAAAATGTGGAACATTGTGATGAAATCTGCAAGGTGATAGGCCTATCAACAATGTAAAATGTGTCAGTGGCTGCAAAGTGGTTAAGGTTTTTACATGGTGACTCATTACTGGAAGGTCCCAGGTTTAACCTTTTTGAGACTCGTGACTAGCCATATTTTTTAGGTTTATACGTTCCTCAGGTTGTGAGAGAAGTGATATTGTTCTTGTGTTTTTTACACTTTAAAAGCTCTATCATCTTGAGTTGAGGTTGTATACAATGCGCAGTAACCATGGTACCTCCCACACCCTTCTTTTTCCATCCTCATCATCAACAAACCGCTTTTTTCTTCTCCTTCTGCCTGGCATCTCTTGCAAAGTTATGTGAAATGATGACAATCATTTTTCTGGAAAATCATTCAGCCACAGTATCTACATCTAATTGGGAATGTCCTATGTGTCTACCTCTGCCCTTCCTTACCATCTTTTGTCTTTATGGTTTTTTTGCCTCTGGCCTGTCAAGTGATCTCTGCTTTAGTCTTATATTATTTATGTTTAAAGAAATTTTTGGAATGTTTTGTTTTCCTTAATTACATTTTTTGTTTTACTTCAACTTCAGCCGAGCGTATATCACACTCGGCTACCACAGTCCCTGGTTAATATTAGAGATTAATATAAAAAGTTAAAAATGATAAATAATTATACTTTTTAATAAATATCATGAAGTCCAGTATGGGGGAACTTGGTAGCTGAGTGGTTAGTATTCTAAACTCTCGGTTTGTAGATACCAAGGTCGTGGGTTCGATTCCTACCATCACCCCCTGGCCTTTTTTTCATGTTCCCCTTCCCCCAAAAAATATTAAACCACCCAAACTTACATTGTTTTCGGGCTAATATAGAAAACAATGCCATTTAAAAGAGGCCAGTATGGTATGCATTCAGCACAAGTATTGTTGGTTCATTTTCTCATCATATTTTCTGACACTATATTGATTTCATAAATTTCCTATTTAAAATGTCTTTTGTGTGTCTTTGCTAGGTATTACTGTTGGATTAGTTTGTACCAAAAAGTTTTATAAGCATTATTATTTCATTAATGTTTGTTGTTCTAGGACTTTAGTAAATAATGCAATAAATTACCGCCAGGCCTCGAGAATCACCCGCCCTAGTGTTGGCAGGCTAGGGTCAGTCGTCAGACTCAGCCTTATCCATTCAACCACCAAGGTTGGGCTCAACAAGCTATCAACTGCTAGGTCATTTCAGCCCCCAATGCAAACATTTTTTATATTCAAACCCATAAGTTCGTTTTGCCTAATGTACTGGACTTTAGAAAACAACTGAAATGTGCCAATAGATGCCGATTCAAACCCATTCACACATATTATCTAACTAATCTAATTTAGGATAATTCTGCAATCGGCTCTCACACAACACATTTGTGTCATTAAATACATTCATTCTCAACTCACACTAGTGGACACAAAACAATAAAACATAACAAAAATCTGAACAGGAGACCTAAATACTCACTGTATGTGCTCAAGCATAATTTAGTAGTAGTATGTCACAAGTATAAGTAATTTTTTAGGTTTTATTTGTAATGGGGATTTTAATTGTTGCAAAGCTTGAAGATTGATTACTGATTTATGTAAACTCAAATCTGCACACGCATGTACAAACATACAATAGGCTCAGAATTGAATCTATCGTGAACTATCATTTCTCACAGTCTACTGGCAATTCCCGTATTTGTAATTTACATTAGGTTACCAGCAGGCCTCGAGACTCACACCTCGGGTGTTAGTAGTCTGGAGTCAGACCTCGGCCTTATCCGTAGTCACTGAGGTTAGGCTCTGGGTGCTGTAATTAGGTAGATCATTTCAGCACCCAGTGTTATTATTCCTGAAATCCATTCACACTCACTCACTCTTAAATATATTTTTCTTATTTATGTACCATTCTCTCAGTAAAGGTGGTGGGGTACTTGATATTCCTCTGTTACCCTGCACACTTATTATGTAACTAATCTAATTAAGGGTTGATGAGGTCACTCAATATTGCACCACCAGCCCTCTCCCACTGCACATTCACGCTAATAAATACCTCTCTCTGAACACACGCTGGTGGTCACAAAATAATCAGCACTATATGTAACAACTGTGTTTCTCCAAAAAAGTAGAGCCACATACTTTCTGTATGAAGCCAAGGAACCTTCAAAGTTAGACCTCACATGGCCTATCCTTAATTGGGTGAGATGATCCTTCTTCTATGAATCAGTTCCTCCAAGGGTCACCTATCAACTGTGCTCGTGATACGTGAGGGCTTCTATGTTGATTTAGCCCACCGATGCTGCCACTTTCTTTTAATAGTGTATTTAATGCATTTTTAGTGTCAGATGGTTAGGCTGTGACCCAGCCTTAGTGTTTCGTCTGCCTTTTCGACCCCTCTAGACCTATGTGTCTGGGTACAACAACCACCATTTTGCCGAAATTCTCCAATATCTCTCTATAAGGACGCTTCAATAAGAGTAATGATGAATGAAGAAGTGAGTGCGGTGTTCAATCCTTTTTAAAAAGATAGTTCCTACTCATAGTAGGTATCCATTACTGCTTTCACTAACAAATTAATGAAATGATGAATGATGGAATGAGCTTACTGTGAGTAAAAATTATCTTTTTAAAAAGGACTTCAATGAGAGTGTTGACAGCTGTTACAGCATAGCTGAGGGAGTCCTTGCTGACTAGGATTTTCTGTTTTAGGACATTGTTTGTTGATGCATTTTGCATTTTTGGTAATTTTTTAATCCATTTATTTAAAATAAACTTTAATGTGTGTTTTTGAGAGACTTGTTTAATAATTGTTGGATTCGTGAGGCGCGGTCAAGAAAACAGCTATCACAAACTTTAATGTTGAACTGTTTAGTCTCCTTTTGAAGTGATATTTTTCTTTTGTAGCTATTTCATTTTGTGAGAGTCTAAATGAGATATTTATAGCCCTTAGTAGTTAAATTAGAATGGCTACTTTTACTAAACTAACGGTATTTCCCTTGGTAGCCAATCTTATGGAAATAACGAGCCTGAACTCTGAAGTTGTATGTCTAAAGTCGTCCAAATTTAATATTTGCTCTTCTGCAGAGGATTCCTTTGTTGTGAATCGTCAAAATTAAGCAGGCAAGTCCCAGTCGGAGCTTGAATTAAGTTGAGTTTGACCGCGGAGCCCCCTCCCACGCGGTGGAGCAACTGTAAACGGCCTGTCCGTAAAGTTGGAAGGGGGTTGGACGAGGCAGCCGGTTGCTCTTTGTGTATTGATCAGCTTCGCCGTCCGCCGGTAGCGAGTTTGGGCCGCCTCCGACCGTCTTCACCTCCGCCTCCGCCGCTTCGCCGCCTTTCGACTCTCGTCCGGCCGCCGCTTCGCTCGTCCCGGCTCCGATGGCGACTCGGGCCCGCTAGCGTTGAAATCACTCCATAAACGCCCACGTAAACAAAAAAAGGGGGAAGGTGAGTTCAGCCTGTTTTTCTCCCTTTTAAGCCCAGAAACGTCCGGTGGGCCTCTTCTTTTTTCTTTTCTTTTTTTCTTTTTTTTTCTTTGCTCCATACCAAAGGCCAACCAGACCCAAACACTCACTTTATTAAAACGAGTATATATATTTTTTTTTTATTATAGAAAGTCAAAAATACCTCTTATAAAATTCTTCCAAGACCAGTTAATTAATCAAGTTGATGAGACATGGGTTTGTGTCCAACTTTAGCTTCCAAGTGAACTTACATAGCAAAGTACTAAGTTCGTTTAATATCGTTTTCGTATTGGAAGCTGCTCATTAAGAAAAAAAATTCACATAAATTCAAAGTTACAATATTTTATAAATTTCTACATTTTTTATTGCATATTCATTAATATTCTACTTTTATGGCAGTTTAAGTAAAAAACGTTTTATTCTTGCAATTTTGTTGTATTTGCTTAAAAAAATTGCTTTTATAAAATTTTTATTCAAAAATTAACGATCTCCAAAAATATAAACAAATGAAGATTTGTCTATTTCACACATTAATCCTTTTTTTTAAATTTGGATCTGGTGAATAAATGTTTAAGAATTGATTATGTAACTTTCAAGCTGCACACTTGGTCTTATGAGAAGCTTAATATTAAAAATATTATAATAATATTATTATAATATAATAATATTAAAAAACAATATTTAAAAAATATGCAAGCTTCTCTATAAAAAAATTATAATTTTGATCATTGTATTTTCTTCTTCTTTGATTTTTAATTTTGTCAAAGTGAAACAATATTTAAAAGGACCACTTTATATGGCATGAGTTGTCCAATGTAAACTTATACAGTAGGCTGTAGTTATCTGTAGGGGATGTGTATCAAGCATTACTGTGTATAATAGGAAATACCTTGAATTTCAGGCTTTGAAGTGTTTTCTTGTATTTGAATACCAATCCTACACTTTCTGTAACACGTGAGCTTATCGTCATGTTATGTATGAACTTATGTAAACAAATTTCTGTTTTTTTTTGCAATAAGAAAATACAATGAACGTTAATGTACATAAAGTTTTCCACACAGGAAATGTACATATTTCCATCAGAGGCACCTATGCACGGCATTGAAAGAAAAAAAACTCAACTAGGAGGGCAAATGTGGCTGAGTGAAAGCATAGATAACAAGAGTCTACTGTATTCAGAATGTTTTTCATATAAAAAATTAAATTACCAGCTTTGTTATTGTTATACACAATAAGCAAGCATTATGAACAATAAATACAGAAATTGAGAATTACTTTATGATAATGTCTTTATTTTTGTTTTTGTTTCTTTGCCCCATATCAAAGGCCAACTCAACCCAAACTCTCACTTTCTTTAAACAAATATATATNATTCTTGCAATTTTGTTGTAACACGCTTAAAAAAAATAGCTTTTATAAAACTTTTATTAAAAAAATAAAACGATCTCCAAAAATATAAACAAATGAATATTTGTCTGTTCCACATTAATTTTTTTTTAAAATTTTGGATCTGATGAATAAGATTAAGTATAAGTTAAGTTTAAGAATTGATAAGTTTAAGAATTGATCGTGTAATTTCCAGGCTGCATACTTGGTATTATGAGAAGCTTAATATTAAAAAAAAATATATATATAATTTTAATCATTGTATTTTGGGGGACCTGCGGTAGCTGAGTGGTTAAGGCGTTAGACTCTCGGCTAGTAGATCCCGCAGTATTGGGTTCGATCCCCACCATCGCCTCTGGACTTTTTCTGACGCCTAAGGTGGCCGCAATTGAAAGAAATTGACACGGCACTCATCAATGGAAGGGGCGGGATCGGATCTCAGCGACCCTGAGTTTGGTCCCAGCCCCCTTCAAAAATGAGTTTCTTCGATGGAAGAACACCGGCACAACGGGGGCTTAAGTTCACATTTGTGTTGCGAGGCCCCACCCCCAAATATGGAGCCAGGGATAAAGTACAATAAGCTGTACAGCTCAGCTGCAGTGCTCAGGAGGGAACTCCTCCAATCCCTGGTATCCATTGGAAAAAAAAGAAAGTATTTTCTTTTTCTTCTTTCTTTGATTCAAACTGAAACAATATTTAAAAAGATCACTTTAAATGACATGAGTTGTGTTACATAAACTTTTACAGTACGCTGTAGTTATCAGCGGGGGATGTGTACTGCGTATAAGGAAACACCTCAAATTTCAGGCTTTGAAACATTTTCTTCTATTTGATTACCAATTGTACATTTTCTGTATCATGAGAGCTTATCATCAATGTTATGATTTTTCAATTTCAGTAAGAAAAATACAATGTACAACATTGGTACAACAATAATACATGGTACAACATTGTGCATAATAAAAGGAGAACAAGACATTCATCACTGTATTGGCATCAAGACTTTTCAAGACATTTATGGACCTGGTTTAAATTATAATTCTTGTAATCTTCTTTTATGTGGAAGATATTAACATTACCCTAAAAGAAAAATGAAGGAGTAATTATTCAGCAAAACACCATCATACCTTCACACAGAACATAATATACTTATAGTATATTCTATATTTTATAGTATTACCTATTAAAGAAAAGACAATCTTTTATTATTACAATTTTAATTAGTTGATGGTGGGGGTGGTCATTATCAAAAATGTTTGTTTATTCCATTAATGTGTTTTTTACTTAGAGGAATATATTTTAAAGTAAATATTCTATTGACATCATTTACTTATAAATGTTGATTGTAGTATAACTTTCTTGCTTCATAAGAAACAAAATGAAAGTTATTTTAACAAATATTTTTATTGTCCTTTATTTTTTTATATTGCTCTATAATAAATTGCCATTCTATTGCTACTAATAATTCTTGGAAAATATTGATAAAAATTAAAAATATACATACAGGGAAACATCCATGAACAGATGTCAATACTTCATGGGGTTATTCTATATGTCAGATGTGACTAAAAAGTACCTATTGCCTATAGTTTGATAGTCAATTGTATTTGGGATGTTTCACTTTTCGTGTTACTTCAACATTTCACAACTTTTTACCATAAAGCCCCCTCTCTCTAGCATCACAAAAAATATTAATCCTGCTGTAGTAAATTTGATTACATCAATGGAAAGAGCATTAAAATTCCTATAAGATTCCGTAGTTTTTTAAATATTGTAACCTTAATACAAAATACTCAGAGGATAAACTTTTACAAGTTTCAAAAGTTCTTGGCTAAAGTTTAAGAAAGATGTTCAAGGCTCTGTAAATAATGACAGATATGGGGCTTACAGAAAAGCTGCCCAGAAGTACTACCAGAAGATGGACATTTTTTACGTTTGTTTTTTCTTATGTTTGATTTTGTACCAGTCATTTTTGTTTACTTTGTATTACTTTAATTAAATTTTTAATATAAGTATCATCTTAATAGGTAATTTTTTAAAACCATTTGCAACTGAAAAATCAAATTGTTAGCAACTAAACATTAATTTTACACGGTTGATAACTGGCCTTAATTAAGTACATGTATTTAAAGCTTATAGTAGGGGAAACTTTTCTGTAGCTGCCATCATTTCTGTCAGTATGTACAGAGCTTAAGTAGTTTTATACTTTATTCAAGAACTTTGGAAAATCGACAAAATTTAGGTTCTAACTAATTTGAAAATTTAAATTTTTATTAATTTAATTTGCTTAAAGTTACAATGATAGAAACAAAACTTAGGGGATTTAACGATTTAAATTAATAACAATTCCTTCTATGTACTGTACTGAAAATTACTGGATTACCTATTGTTCAAATAAAATATCCTAACTTTTATATTGTGGAAATTTTAATTATCCACTTCATGCTTTTTAAGCAATTGATTGATAAAAACACTAAGCATCTTCTTTTAATAATAAATTTAGTAATATGCTTGCAATACATTGTGAAAAATAATTGTTTGTACAAGATGTTAATTATGTATATTTTCCCTTGGTATAGTCATACATTTTGAAAATATTTGCATTAATGTAGTTATAATATTGTGTATAACTTTTCTGTTTCATGCTGCATCTTATTAAAATCTAAATTATTAGTAAAAGGGAGCCTTTCCATTGTTAAAAATAAATTAATGAGCATTTACCTCATTCCAAGTTACAATAATTTAGTTTTTGTATTGACTTTTGTTCAAGCAGTATCTTGTTTATAACAATATGTGCATTATGTAACATTTTAAAGCTAAAATTATGTATATAAATCTAGTGTTGGGTATGATATACTGATTACTGATTTATATAAGCTCAAATCTGCATATGCATGTATGTATGTGTACATAGAGAGCTGAACAGATGACTTCTCACCGCCTACTGTGCAATTTACAATAAGTTACTTGTAAACTGTGAAAATCAAAATGTTTTATCATGTTTAGTTAATTCACTTGTTTTATTTTTGGTTTTGAAAAATAATACTCTATCATAAAAATTACAATATTGATTATATTATAACTTGCAATGTTTATGTCTTATCAGAAGCTAAATGTCAACAAAATGCAAGTTCACATTTTATCTAAATTCTATTGACTTGTTTTAAACAGAAAAAATATTTAGAAATAATCTGCCATATGAAACAATGAAATATTAAATAATATATCACTAGGACAAATTTAATGTGAAATTTGATCGTTACCGATCATTTTGGTCTGCTTATCCTCGTTAAGGTGTTTCAGCACTTCATCATCAGTTTGTCTGTAAATATGGTGAAATGCCTAAAAGCGTCTGACACCAACCCAGGGAGGATAAAAAGGCTGAAAGGATCAATTACAACCAAATTATAGGTTTATTACCCTGCAGACAAAGGAGAAATATCACAAAATGCTATTTTATCCAATGGTTATTTTTTCTCCCATGTTCATTGGCGCCAGTATTGAAAAATAAATGTGGCTTTAGTTGGATATTAACTATCAAAACTTACAAGTCAAATAATAGATATTTAAATGTAATTAAAGTGAATTTTAAATTCATGATTTAACTAAATTAATAAACTTGTAGTTAGGCCATTTTTGATCTTCTGGTCTGCCTAACCTTACTGTTTTGGTATCTCATCTTTATTCGAACCCACCACTGAAGATGATGAAATGCCGAAACTTGCCTGGGTTAGAGTGAAGGTAAGACTAAAGATGTGATGACAGAACACATCTAACAGAACAAAACAGCTAAGACAGGCTCACCAAAATGATCAGAAATGATCAAACTACAAAATATTCATCAGAAAGTACAGTTTTCTTCAATTCAGTATGTCATAAACAAAATAATAATGAAATATTGATTTTTCCAGTTTTTAACACATTGACTGCAGTTGTCAACATTTAGTCAAATTTCTTCCTTGTGATTTTAAAGAACTGAAATCAATTCAGCATAGGGTATTGATACAAGCAGTTAATGTGTTAAAGAATCTATTGTATTAAAACGTTTTTTCCTTAGCTTAATAAAATAACAATGGTTTACAGATGGATAAGATGACTGAGGCCCAGAAAGTTGCCTACTTAGAGGCACATGCTGTTATGCAACAGCAGATGGCTCAACATGCAGCCACACTGCAACAACAGCAGCAACAACTTCAACAGAACCAACAGAAGAAAATGGAATACGTTCCAACTCTCAAAGTACCTCAAGTTCCACAGCCTCAGACAACAAATCAACAGACTACCACTGAACAACAACATACTTTTACTATGGTAGCTGATGAGGGGCTTGGCTTTGACGATGGAGTTAGAGTGCTCAGATCAATAGGAACATGGTCTGATACCTTTACTTGCTTAATTACAAAAAAGTGGAAATCATAAATCTTATGTTTTTTGTTTTTTAAATACAGGGCACCAGAGTATACAAGCCAAGTCGCTTTTCCAAGCAATCAACAATTCACGACTGATAACAGCGAAACAGCAGAAAAGACCGCACAGGCTGTAGGCACTCAAACGACCCAACCATCTGTCCAATCTGTTGTAAAACAGAAGCATAGGGTGGAGAACAACAACAAAAGTTTCACATGTACAGAATGTGGAAAAGGGCTTGCGAGGAAAGACAAATTGGTATTTATTATCTTCATATTTGATTACGAATACAATATAAAACACAATGCAAATCTTATCATTATTTTTGCAGGTGATTCATATGAGAATTCATACGGGTGAAAAACCCTATGTATGTGAAGTGTGTAAAAAAGCGTTTGCAAGGCGTGACAAACTTGTAATTCATGTCAACAAGTTGAAACACATAACACCGTCCAATTTGGCACCACTTGCTAAAAGAAACCACCCTCTGGAAGTTAATAAAACACCAACTTTGGTGACACCCACGCCACCTTCGGTTCAACAGCAGGATAAGAAGGAAAAAGATGAAGGTTCATCATCACCCAACGGTCTTCCTGTGAGTATTTGGACTTTTAATCTTGATATAAAGTATTATTAAAATTGGAATTTTAGTTATTTGAAATTAAATTAAACAAACAAAAATAATTTAACGAAAAATTAACTAAATTCAATATATTAGGATGAGTGAAATGACTATTTTCAATATTAAAATTATTTGTTTGATTTCCAACAAATTATTTTCATCGAGGAAATATGTTCAATGGTACATTGCAAGGCTATAATTAATCTAGAGGCATCTATTCTGATTCCCACTCAATTTTTTTTGTGGTTTTGGTTGAAACAATTTTTACTCCTGTTTTTACTTTTTCCGGTATTACCAGTAGTATCTCGTACATTGGTTACAGTTGTTCCGAACAGAGCTCAGGATTTATAATGTACTGTTCTGGAACAAATGCATTACAGTTAAAGGCGTGTTCTCATGATTCAGTTTTTGAATGTTTGAACAAAATCTGTCATGCGAACCTTCAGCTCAGCAGTATCGGTCAACAAAAGTTTGAACAGAACAGACTTTTTTCATTCAAGTCGAGACTTCACGTTATGGAGTTCAAGTTGAAGCATTATTTGAAATGTATTAACATAATAATAATAAGCTTTATTTTTGCCTTTTAGACCAGCCCTCAAAAGGGTAATATCCGGGGGCGGGAGGCATGTACAGACCAGAGCCATTTATATAACAATTTTGTTTTTTCCAAGTTTTTTATTTTTTATATACTTAAATTTTTGTATATACTAAAACTTGTATTTTGTTTTTTATTTCAAACTATATGTATGTATGTTATTGTCACATTTATTACAGCATACTTATTTTAATGTAACCTAAATTAAATGAGATCAGAAATTCATTAGTTTTAATAAAAATTTATTTAATTTTCATAGTTTAAAAGAAAAATTCACTAAAACACCAGAAAATCATTTAGTGAGGTTAAAATTGCACTAACAATTTATTCTGTCACTAAATGATTTTCTGGTGCTTTGTTGAATTTTCTTTAAAAACATGAAAATTAAATAATTTTTATTAAAAAACTCATGAATTTCTGATTTCATTTTAATTTAGTTTACACGAAAATAAGTATGTTGTAATTAATATAATTATAGAAGTGCATATAGTTTAAAATAAACAAGAAAATATGAGTGTTTGGTTTTATTTGTCTGCGTATATTTTTTATTTATTTATTGTTTTATTATATTTTATTTAAAAAAAACATGCATAAAAAAGGAAATGCAACTTTTTATAAATAAAATAAAGTAGAACAATTAAATTTATCAATATTTTTAGTGTAGGTATAGACAATTTGTTGAAATAAATAAATTCAATACATCAAAATATCAATATATATAAATATTCATTTTTTAAATATTTTTCAGAAATAAATGTTTAAAAAATTAGTATTGATTTAAAATTGGAAAATTTAAAACTGTTCCTTTTAGCATACCGCAAGGCAGCATTATAAATATGGCGATAATAGAAATCAGTGTTTTTTAAATTAATTTTTTTTTAAATACATGTATTTCAATAATGGCCCCTCGGGGTGCCAATGTTTTTGAAAAAAGCCCATTTTAAGTATGTCGGGTTTAGTCAGTCATTCTTTTGTACTCATCCTTCTATACTTACCTACTACCCTTTAAACTTCTTCAATTTTATCAATACTTTATTTTAATTTAAAAAATTTAGCCATGAAATTTATATATTTTTATTTATTTATTTTTATAGCAGCTTTTGGTTGATTTTGTAAGTTTTAACTCATTTAATAATTTTTACTAGAAAAGTTGAAATTCAGTTTGCTAAAATGATTTTCAACTGAAATATACAAATTGTAGGGTGTTGGGGGCACTTGGTCGTGCGAGTTGTGCGGTAGAGTGCTCTCAGGACGCGAGGAGTGGTCTGTGCACGCGCGCGCACATTTGGAAGCCCAGGCAGCACCACCACCCTACCAACCACCCGCCTACCCAGCCCCAGATCGCCACTATTGCCTCATGTGCCGTCAAGATTTTGCCGACAGGACGGAGTTTATGTTCCACCTCAGGGCTCATTTCAACAAACCTCAGGAAGTTGTCGACTCGACCGGTCTCTGTACGTAGGTAGCACAAGGGATGAAATCCGATGACGTTGAAGACGGGGTGTGTGACAATAAAAAAAAGAGTAAAACTTATGAAGTTTAATGTTATTCAGGTACAAAATGTGCCTTTGATCAATAACAAATTTCTTACAAAAAATATAATTGACTAAAAATTATAGACAATCATTTTTCAATGATTCTAGTCAAAGGAAAAAAAGACTTACCCTGGCTAAATACATTTTCATTTTCTGGTTCTTTAACTTAGAATTCACATGCTTTTATATCTCTTTAAACATTCTACTCCGTTGAAGCTGTCTACAGCATAAATCCTGTTAAAAGTTTTCACCGCATATTTATTACAATCTGTCCATTATTTAAAAAAAAAAAAAAAAAATTGTACTACATAAAAAACTTTACTAAAACTTGAAATAAGCCAACTTCAATAATTTCAAATTTAATTTATTATTGTAAAAGTATTATTAGTTGTGATGTAGTACTTTCAGTTCATCATAATCAGTAGAGTAGATCAGATAAAGCAATTGTATATTAAAGCAGATAAAACACAAAAATACATTTAAGAAATAAGTTTGAGAAACTTTATGTACTTGACGTATTCAATTTTATTTAATTACAACTTTTCATTCTTAAATTTTAACAATTTTCAGTGCTAATGACACTAAGTGGTGAATGATAAGAAAAATATTCTTCACAAGACATAACACAAACAACAAAACATGGGATGCAAAGTGTATACATTACAATATACATTCCATTTAAAACTAAGTTTTAAAATAAACGAAAATGTTAAGAGAGATTTTCAAAATTTAAATCTACTGAAATGTATGCCAAACCATTTATAAATAATCCAACCACAAAAAAATATTAGTACAATCTCTCTGCAAATAGTAGTATATGAATAGATTCTTTAAATATATATTGAAGTGCCTCTTTTGTTTTTTTCTAAAATTATTCCATTCAGTGGATGGAAACACCCCTCATTTTTGTGTGATGCTTGTGGTTTACAAACCAATGGCTTATGTAAATATTGTAAAAAAAAACATTTTTTTGTCGACTTGCAATGGTAGAAGATATATTTTTGTTTAAATTTCTCTCCTCTAAAAACGGTTGAGTTAAGAGGCAACTCAACTACCAAAGTTCAAAAATTCAACTATTATAAATCATCTGTTTGCGTGGTTTTAAGAGTTTTTAGGAACAATTTATGATATTTATGGTTATGGACTAAATAATAAATGTATGTTATTTATTAACAGTTGTGATTTGATTTACAGTTTGTTTTGTGTGTTTATCTTTTAGTCGTGTGTTGTAGTATATTATATAGGGTAGATTTTAAATCAAAGTCACCATTGCCCCATGACATCACAATTATATAATGAAGTTGTAAATTTGAATAAGATTTTGTTACAACTTGTTTTATCTTTTCACAATTATGAATTCTGATATATTATGTATAAGCAGTTGAAAGATTATGAAAAATGTACACATGTTGCTAATATATACATATATGGTTATGTTACGGTTTGAAAAATCTGCCGTATTTACAATATAGACCCTATATGTCTTGTTCAATTTTTATATTTTATAGAATGCTTGCTTTGACTGACAGAAAGTTCCTTATTTTGATATTATAATGTTTATGTAATATTTTATCATATATGAATTGGTTCGTATTTATACTGTTCCATCAGAGTCCTTCACCTATTCAGTAATTTATATTGATCTCAAGTAGTAACATAATTTTAGATGTACTCTTAAAAACTCTTTACACCTCACAAGCATCGACTTCCAAATTCGAGTCTTCGCTTAGACTGATACTTAAATTTCATTTGTTATTATTAATTAGTGAATGTTGTAGTTGACTGTATGAAATAGTACAAAAATTGAGATTTAGGTCTTCCGTGCTACGCCAGTCACACACCTCGTCTTAAAATGAATTCGGTTATCTTTACATATTAAGGTAAAACCTCGTGTGGGGTTTTACAGATTATACATTTTATAACCCAATATATGACTGAAAATTGTGTGTATCTATTTTGTTTTAGTGTGTAAATTTAGTCCATTTTTTATGATTATAAACAATTTGTATATGTTATTACAATTTAGGATTTATAAAAAAAAATTGAACAAAAAAATTATATTATCTTGCCATGATATTTGCTCATTATATTTATTTTGTTGATTTTTTTGTTTCATCTTTTAAAATTTCAGACAGATGAGATTTCTTTTAAGAATGTTTGCCATTTTTAATTTTTAATTATTTTTTAGCCAATTTTACCTACCTCTTGTGTTTTTTTACCTTTTGATATGTTGATAAAGCTAATTAGTATGCTTAGAGAATATTGTAAATTTTTATATCGATTGGACCTTTTATTTCCTGTCTAGGGGCTGTTTAATTCCTCTCTGTTTGTGAAAAATGCCCTTATGCTATTTAGTAAACATTGTATCTAGTTTGCTAATAAAAAAATATTATTAAAAAAATGGTGTTTTGATTTTTTTCTAGCATTTAATTCACAGATACTGATAAACGAAAAAAAGTGTGTGTAGTATTTTATGAATCAATATAAGTATATTATTTAGGTTTGTTTTTGTAATAGGGATCTTAATTGCCACAAAGCATGAAGTTTGATTACTGATTTATATAAGCTCAAAAATATACATGCATGTATAAATATACAGTTGGCTCAGAGTTGAGCCTATCATGAACTATCACTTCTCACATGTACTGGCAATTCCAGCGTTTGTAATTTACAGTAAATTACAGTCAGGCCTCGAGAATCATCCACTCGGTTGTTGGCATTGTGGGGTGTGACGTCGGTCTTAAATGTCTAGCCACTGAGGTTGGGCTCTGGGTGCTGTCAACACTGGTCATTCCAGCACTCAACGCAATCAATCCTTAAATCCATTCACACTAATCTACTCTTAAATACATTTTTCCTATTTACATCCGATTCACTCAGTTAGGGGTACTCGATATTCCTTCATCACCCTCCACACATGTAACTAATCTAATTGTCGGTTGATGAGGTACTCAAATATTGTGCCATCAGCCCTATCCCATTACACATTCACGCCAATAAATATATTCATTCTGAACACCCACTAGCGGATATAAATAGATATAGTATATACAATAAAACAACCCTGTTTTCTCCAAAAACAAGAGACCAAAATACTCACTGCTGTGCTCAAGCACAATGTTCATATTGGGTGGTATTCCTATGTGCTTTCTGTATGGAGAGAATGAACCGTACCTTTCAATTAGGTGGGACACATCGAGCAACTTTTTTTAACATGCCAGACACATGCGGGGGGGGGGGGTTGGCCTAAAAGTAAGTGTCCTTGTGCCAACCTCGCATGGCCTGTTCTTAATTGGGTGAGGAGACCCCTCTTCTAGGAGTCAGTGCATATGTGAGAGTATCTCAACCAATCTGGCCCAACTATGCTACCACTTTATTTTAATCATGTTTTTTAATGCGTTTTTAGCATCCAAGGGCTAGATAGTGTTGGTTAAGTCTGGAGATTGGAACGTTCTGGCCTTAGCTGTCTCAGCTACCTTTTCGTTACCCTTCAGACCTATGTTTCCAGGTACTCAGATAACAACCTCTGTTTTGCCAAGATGCTCCAGTAGGGGAGGTCTGAATCATTCGAACATACCAATGCTCATTAACAAAACAAAAATTTCTAAAAAAAACAGCATGAAGTTATAACTCTTATAAAAAAAGATATTTCAATTTTGAGTTTGAGAAAACTTTGAGGTTTGGGTTGTAGAAATAACCAGGTAAAATTATTTCACATAGACAGTTCGGGCTTATTCAATCCTATTTTATTCAACCAGCAATAAGAATTTCATATATAAGGCAACGTAGTCTTTGTATGATTATTTCCTGGGGTATCTGTTTGTCGAAGCCTCCTTGTAGTAAGGGGGAATTGTTCATAATTGATTTTTCTGTGATTTCTATGGTATATTTTAATGATTTCAAAAGGATAAGAAATAGTGATAAAAGTTCTAAAATGTGTAAATAAAATGATTTTAAAGTTGATGCTTGGTGTTGGTCTGTGAGTTGGTGAACTCATGTTGAGCCAGCACTGGTTACTTATTGGGTCTATCTTTACTCACTGGTTTGTACCAAATATATGTAACCCAGAGTCAGTTCAACATGAAATAATTGGGGGTGTTGGTGGCCACATCGGTTGACACGGCACTCATCACTGTAAGGTAAAGATCTGGGGTTTGAATCCAGCGGCCTTGCATTCGAACCCAACATATTTACAAATGGGCTTTTTTCCCAAAAACATTGGACCCTGAGGGTTTATATGACCTCAGCTGTTGCGAACCCTAAAAAATAAAAATAAAAATGAAATAATTTTAGCTCCCTTGGTGATGTTTTTTCTATTGTTGACGCCAGTCATCTTATTTTTGAAATATGCTTTGTTTTTATTAGTGTAATCTCTAATCCAACTCCCACGCTCCTTACAGTCCCAGTCCTGCTCTACTCCTACGAAAGAGTGTCCTTACGCCTCTCTTTAATCTCGTATGTTTCTCTCCTTTATTAATTAAAAAAGATCCAAAATAACGCGAATCTCCAAAAACCCTCTGTGCTTCTACATCGATCTCTTCCACCTGAAATCATCTGATATTCTGCGGCGGGGTCAGGGGAATCGGGCCCTACGCTTCGTGCAGCCTTCATCTGAAGGAAGGTGGTAAGTCCCTTATAATCTCTCCCAACATTTATTTTAATTTAGAATTTTTCTTCAATTTAAGTTATTAACATTTCATTAACTTTTTTTCATTATTATTTTTTCTTTCTTTCCACGGCGTTGGCTGTAACATCTATAAATCAAACAACAAAAATGAATTGAGTTCTACATAATATACCATGAAAATCACAAAACCCAATGAAATATTTTAATCATTGAGCTTTTGCTGAATATCCTAAAATTGGAGTTCCATTTAGCTAAATAGCAAGCTCTGAAGAGGGACCAGGGATGTGGCCAGAAATGCAACAGAAATTTACTGCATAAAAATAAATTGGTGTGCTTAGTTAAAAAAACATTTACATATATTCAACCAACCAATGAAGATGGTGAAATTCTAAAACACACCTTACAGTCCAAACCCCAAACCATCTAGAATAGACAGGCCAGGGTAGTTGGATATGATCAAGCTAAAATTATAAAAGCTTTTTTGACCAAAGCTTCTATGAACCAAACCCTAATTAGGGTGCAGAGATTCTAATAGTCCCCTCTCCTTATATGAAGCAATTCTAGAGATGAAACAGGAATAAAACATGGATAAGTTTTCAAATAAGCTGCTTTTGATAACACCATTCATTTGCTTAAAAGATGTGAAGAGGGCAGACAAGAGCAAAGCTTCATATTTTTCATTGCTTACCTCAAATCAAAACCAGACAGCCAAATGAGAAAATTCATTGTTGTAATAAGACTTAGAATTAAATGAGCAACTATTAAGTGGTAATGGGAATCATCATTGAAATATACAACATTAAGAAACGATATTGTGAGTAAATGAAGGTATGCTGGCTAAACTATGGTTTGTAAATGTTTTAAATGAAATGTAGATATTTTTTCCCCATCCTCAACCCCACTGTACCTAAGCGAGACCTCATACCAACGGAACAAAGAGCTACTTGGCATGGAAAATTATAATTTTTGCGGAATTTAATTTCCTTAAGCCTTGCCTCATCTATGAAGAGAGGCAAAATAAAAGTAGATTATATATGTTTAAACATGGTTATGCTATTTCAAAGGATTTCCCTTCGCTGGTTTCCCCTTTTAAAGTGTATCTAGAAAAGCTTATAAAATATTTACATTTCTATATTAAAATTTTGTATCAAAATCAAAAAGAAAACAGCCCGTGATAAAATTTCCTAACGATTAGATTGCAATTTAACTAAGCCTAATAAAATGAATAATCACAAATAACATAATCATTACAGTATTATCACAATTTTTTTTAAAAAGCCTGGTAGTGATGAGGCTTTTGGACTAGGTCTTTTAGAGTGGGTATCCAGTTACTCGAGTGCACTTTTCTGAGCTCTTCTCCCTATATCTCAAACTAACTGGCAAAGTTGCCGTGTCCTAACATAGCTTGGCTGGTCCAATAATCGGAGAGGATCCATTTTACTTGGGTTCGATCTCGAACCGATGGGAAGTACTGAATAGTTAGCCTACCCTTTAACTCTATTTTACCACTTTTTTGTCATTTTTCCTCTACCCATTTGACCAGAAACCTTTTTCTTATTAAATGCAGATCAAAGCTGTTTGAATAGTTTTGGTTGTTTATGATGATTGTGATTAACCTCAATTATACAACATTAAAGATGTGAAGCAATGCTTCTGGCAGACCAGACTAGCGAGGATAGAAAATACCCATGATCCCATAGACGACACGGAAAAATTTTAAATTTTCTTGAATAATTAAGTAGGAGTGCTATAGTAAGTAAAATTTAATGGTGGTAATAATTAGTCGGGGGTTTAATTAAGTAGGTGCATATAATCTAAATCCTTATTAGTTTTATATTTGTTATTGTATTTATCATCTTGCAACTTTGAGAATATATCATAAAAAGCATTGAAAATGCCTTAATGAAACAAACATAAAATAAATTGCTAAACGCTACTTTTTCTAAAAGTTATTATTTGAGTGGGGCAAACATTTAACATGGTGTAAAAATTATAAAATGAAATTGTTAAAACGAGTCCTTGTGGTAGTTTTTGTGTTAAAAGGGTTGTACGGTCGCGCGATGCACAAATTATGTGCTAGCGTTTAACAGCTTTGTTTAACTCATCGAAAACATTCGCTTCACTTTCTTAATAAACAAAAACAAAGACTTGACATTGAATATTTTAGGACTAATCCAAACGTGTTTCTACTTAATCTCATTCAATAATTTCCCGTTTCCAGTTTCAGAGGTTGTGATCAATCTGACCCTGAAAGAATGCGTGCTGATACACACAGGAAAAAAAAAAATTCAACGGCCGAAGATTTCACGATTGTTTGTCATTGTGGAGTCTGATCGTTCATGCTCAAAATCGAAAACATCTAACAACCGATGTTGTGCCTGCCGACGTGCAA